ACTTGCTAGGGCAGGACTATGCTGTGTTTATTTTCTGTGCCCCTAGCACCTTCCATAGTGGCTGGTTCAGAGTAAGTGCTAATTATCTCGTTGAATGAATTCATGAAAAACAGAAGTGATCTCATCCCTTTCGGAGCTCACAATCTAAAGATGGTGGAGTCCTACTTCCCTTGTTCGGCTTACTGTTCAGCACTTGGCCGCTTTAGAGATGGGAGAGCCGAGACCTGTAAAGGTGGGGTGACTTGAGCAAAGACCCATCAAGGGGGAAGAGAGATCGCTCTTCCCCACTTTCCAGAGGGAAATACAATTTCCCTCATGTCGTCAGAAACACGAAGAAGCACCGAAAACACATGAAACCTGCTACACCCATTGTGAACTCAAGGCACGTACTGCCTTTTATTTTTGGAACAATAACCAGGGCAAAAATTCCATCACAAGAGAAGTTAAACACAAAGAGAACCTGGGAGCTCTCGGGATGGAGCAGCAGACGAACTGCAGTGCTACAGACTGAGATGGCACTGACGCGGCAGTTGTGTCTTCATGGGAAAGACATCTAGTCCCCCATCCAGGTAATTGCCACAGCCCCAACGTTTTGTTCCTGCTACACTTGGGAATCCAGCGGCCTCATTTTACAAATGTGGGAACAGAGGCTCAGTGCACATCATGAATTAAATCTAAGCTTCTGTCTTCCGGCACAAGATTCTTTTAAGCTCTAATTAAAATAAAAGCTCTGAATAGGAGAATTGAGAGAAAGGAGAGGCGAGGAGGAGGTTGGAGAAGGGCTTGGAGAAGGCAAAGGAGGAGGTGTCCCGTCAGGTGCCCCCTCGTGGCCAGGGGCACTGACAGGTATGGGGGAAGGGCAGGAAGTCTGCAGGGGGGGGGGGGGGGGGGGGGGGGGGGAAGAGGAGATGGAGGCGCAGCCTCGCTGGTTTATTTTCAGAGTTGCTATCTTTATCTGCATCTGCTAAATTATTAAACTGATATCACATCCTGGAGGGTGCCAGCTCAGGTTGCAGGGCAGAGACTGAAAGGGAGAGGTTGGATCTCTTAGCAGAGGCCTTGAATCTTCTAGGCTGGGATGGAAGGAGACTTCTTAGGCCTTGACCTCCTGCCCCACCCCACTCTCAGCTGATGGGGGGGGACCCTGATTTGGCCCACAGCCACAATCGCCCACCATAAGGCTCTGCCTCTCCTGGCTGCTGCCCCAGGAGAGGCGTGGATATAATGGACAGGTCTCTGGATTCAAGTCCTCCTCAGCTTCTCTCTCTCTCTCTCTCTCTCTCTCTCTCTCTCTCTCTCTCTCTCTCTCTCTCTAATTCTTAATCATATTTATTTATTTATTTATGTTAATCCTCACCAAGGATATTTTTCCATTGACTTTAAAAAATATATATTTTATTGATTTTTTTTACAGAGAGGAAGGGAGAGAGAGAGAGAGTTAGAAACATTGATGAGAGAGAAACATCAATCAGCTACCTCCTGCACACCTGCTACTGGGGATGTGCCCACAACCAAAGTACATGCCCTTGACCAGAATCAAACCTGGGACCCTTGAGTCCGCTCTATTCACTGAGACAAACTGGTCAGGGCTCTGTTGACTTTTAGAGAGAATGGAAGAGAGAGGGAGGGAGGGAGAGAACCATCAATGTGAGAAAAACACATTGATTGGTTGCCTCTTGCAGAAGCCCTGACCGGGATGTGGGCCAGGGAGGAGCCTGCAACCAAGGTACATGCCCTTGACTGGGATCGAACCTGGGACCCTTTGGTCTGCAGGCTGATGCTTTATCTACTGAGCCAAACTGGCTAGTGCTGCCCCTTCTCTTTCATGGTCTCTTGCTCAAACCAAGGTCAGATATGTGTAGCTTCTGACATTTTGGACAAATTCTTGCATCTATCAATGCTTTTGTCTAGGTGTCAGCAGTTCTATTCCTCAAGCCCTGAAGATTACAGAGAAAACATGCTTTACTCAGGATTGCACAGCTAGGACTGAACTTCAGTTCAAACTTAAGTCTCTCTAATTCCAGATTCCTTTCTTCTCTTTTTAAAATTTTTAAATATATTTTTAAAATATATTTTATTGATATTTTACAGATAGGAAGGGAGAGAGACAGAGAGTTAGAAACGTCAATGAGAGAGAAACATTGACCAGCTGCCTCTTGCACACCCCCTACCCAGGATGTGCCTGAAACCAAGGTACATGCCCTTGACTGGAATCAAACTCGGGACCTTTCAGTCTGCAGACCGATGCTCTACCACTGAGCCAAACCGGTTTCAGCCTCTTTTTTAAAAAAAATTTTTAAATATTTTTCTATTTCCCATCTTTTCTACAAGAGGACTGTGTAGCCGAAACGAGTTTGGCTCAGTGGATAGAGCGTCGGCCTGCGGACTGAAAGGTCCCAGGTTCAATTCCAGTCAAGGGCATGTACCTTGGTTTCAGGCACATCCCCAGAAGGGGGTGTGCAAGAGGCAGCTGATCAATGTTTCTAGCTCTCTATTCCTCTCTCTTCCTCTCTGTAAAAAATCAATAATATATATATATATATATATATATATATATATATATATATATATATATATATATATAATTTTTTTTTTTTAAAGAAGACTGTGTAACTTATAAAACAAAATGAAAACAGCCCTGACCAGTCTGGCTCAGTTGGTTGAGCATCATGCCATGCACCGAAGGGTCACTGGTTGATTCTCAGTCAGGGCACATGCCTAGATTTTGGGCTTGATCCTCAATGCGGGCGGGTGGGTGGGAGGGAGGGGATGGGGGTGGGGAAAGATACTGAAGGCAGCCAATCAATGTTACTCTCTCACATCGATGTTTTTCTCTCTCTCCATTTCCCTTTCCCTCTAAAAGCAGTGAAAACATTTTAAAGGGATCAGAATAAAACAATGATTAGTACAGTATAGAAATGTACTTCCTGCCCTAACCAGTTTGTCTCAGTGGATGGAGCATCGGCCTGCGGACTCAAGGGTCCCAGGTTTGATTCCGGTCAAGGGCATGTATCTTGGTTGCGGGCACATCCCCAGTAGGGAGTGTGCAGGAGGCAGCTGATTGATGTTTCTCTCACCGATGTTCTCTCTATCCCTCTTCCTTCCTCTCTGTAAAAAATAAATTAAAATATATAAATGTACTTCCTAATTCCCAGTGCTGTGTTTGCCAGGCTGGCTGTGCACTAAGAGGTGGTTGGCTGTGGCCCCTGTCCACTTGGGAGAGTGCAGAGCCCAGGGCATTAAGGAAGCCAGGAACAAAGCGAGCAAATGCCAAAGCTCTCATCTCTTGTGCTGTGTGAGCAGTATTCTCCTCGTGAATCCGTCTCCTTTCCACTCCCCCACCCCCAACTATCGTTGCATCACTGGCTGGGATTCATCCTTCAGGTCTCAGTTTAAATGTCACCTGCAGAGAACTCTCACTGATTCCCTCCCCACCCAGCTGGACCTAATGTCTCTGTGTTTTCAGGCCTCTGTGTTCTCCCATCGCAGTAGCTACTCACTGAACTGCCATCACGTGTCTGTTTGCTCCCTGAGGGCAGGGCCCCACCGGACCATTGCTGTGAACTCCAGCAGCCAGTCAAACAGAGAAGGTAATGATCACATTTGTCAAATGAATGAATAAATGAATGCATGACGCAGGGGACTTTTTAAAAAAAATGTATTTTATTGATTTTTTACAGAGAGGAAGAGAGATGGATAGTCAGAAACATCGATGAGAGAGAAACATCACTGACTCCCTCTACTTGCCCTCCACTGAGTCTCCCTCACTCCTCCTAAGGCTTCCTTCCTTCAGAGCCTGGTTCCCTCATGGAGCACTCTCTCCTCTCTGAGCTGCCTCTCAGGAGCCCAGCTGTCTCGCTCACTTTCCTAATCACTCAATTTAAGGCGCCTGAAAGCATGGTGAGGGCGGCTCCCTGGTCTCTTCTTCACATCAAGCCGGTGCACTCCCCCCTCTGCCTCCTCTTCAGCCTGGGCAGTGACCGCACTGGCCACACTTTGGGCGGGTCTCCCAAACCCTCCAGCCTCCGCCCCACCCATCACAGGGACCTCCCATCTCTGACGGCACCCTTTGAAGAGATGAACACGGAGGCAGGGCCCTGGCGTCTGGGCCAGTGGTTAGAGAGGGTATGGCAGGGTCATTTCTGTTGTGGGGAAAATGGGCAGGGCTCCGTTTTCTATTTTGCCAGAATGACAATGTTCCTCCCCAATGGCAGGAACAACCCAGGAATCTGAGCCCCCAGAGGGCATATGGCTGAGCCGCTCCCATCCAGAGGTCCAGATCCAGGGACAGACCTGCTATGTGATCTTGGGGAAGGCACCACTGCACTTTCTGGGTCTGTTTCCCCTCTGGGTTAAAGGCGTGAGGCATCCACTGGGAGGAGCAAACGGGAGCAGGACATGGGAAGAATTTTGCACACTGTGGAGTCCGGGGCTCCTCTGGGGGGTCCATCAAGGTTTACAAAGCCGAGGCGGTCGAAGCGGCAGCGCTGTGGTTGGTTTTGTTGCCTGGTGGGGAACAAACCCCATCGGACCCCTAACAGACTCCAGTTCCCCCCCCCCCCCCGTGTGAACCTCTCCACTGTCCCAGGGAGACCGGAGAAGGGGGTCCTGGGGGGCCTTGTGGCGCAGAAGACCAGGCAGAACCGATTGGACCCCGGGGTGCGGCACGGGAAGGAGCATTGTGCAGAGTGAAGCCTCCTGAGTTCTCACTGTCACAGGCAAAACCCTCCCCAGGCGGAGCCTGGAGTCCTTGGTTCCTAAGCACCAGCTACCAGCGCATCTGCCTCGGGGCCAAAACAGAGAAGATGCAGTGTTCTTACCACCAAACATTTGGGAGCGGGGGATGGAGACCGGATGCCCTCGCAAAACCGAGGGACCGAGGACCTAACGAGAGTGGGCGCTGTCGTGATGGGCGGGGCGGAGACGGGGGAGGGGGTTTCAGAGCATGCCGGCCCCGGATTGGCTGCGCGGTCTGTCGCCCCGCCCCCAATCCTATAAGAGGCCCCGGCGGCCGGCGAGGCGCTGGCGCGGGGGCTGCGGCCGCATCGCTTGCATCCTCGCCGTCCGTCCTCTGTCCCGCGGGGGCAGCCGGCCAAAGCCGAGGACCGACCGACCGACCGACCGCTGCGGACCGCCGGGGGGCGGGGGATGCCGGGCTGCCGCATCAGCGCCTGCGGCCCGGGGGCCCGGGAAGGGGCAGCGGAACCGGGGTCGCCGCCGCCGCCGCCCCGGGAGCCCCTGCCATCCCCTCAGCCCCCGCCCCCAACTCCGACCTTGACCTCGACCCCGACTCGGGCCTCGCCGCCGCCGCCGCCGCCGCCAGAGGCGATCCCGGCGTCGGCGGGCTCGGCCGAGGGGCAGGAGCTGCAGCGCCGGCGCCAGGGCGCTCACGGGGCTGCGGGGGCCGCCGGGCCGGCAGGGGGCGCGGCGGGGTCCGGGGGGCGCGCCCTGGAGCTGGCCGAGGCGCGGCGGCGGCTGCTGGAGGTGGAGGGCCGCCGGCGCCTGGTGTCGGAGCTGGAGAGCCGCGTGCTGCAGCTGCACCGCGTCTTCCTGGCGGCCGAGCTGCGCCTGGCGCACCGGGCCGAGAGCCTGAGCCGCCTGGGCGGCGGCGTGGCGCAGTCCGAGCTCCACCTGGCGGCGCACGGCTCCCGCCTCAAGAAGGGCCCGCGCCGCGGCCGCCGGGGCCGCCCGCCCGCGCTGCTCGCCTCGGCGCTGGGCCTGGGCGGCTGCGTGCCCTGGGGCGCCGGGCGCCTGCGGCGGGGCCGCGGCCCGGAGCCCGACTCGCCCTTCCGCCGCAGCCCGCCCCGCGGGCCCGCCTCCCCGCAGCGCTGACCGCCCGGCCGGCCGCTGCCCCGGCGCCGAGGACGGACTGCGGGCGCGTCCCCGACGCGGATGGATGGACGGACCGGTCGGTCACAGGAGCGCGGCCGGGCGGCCGGGGGACCGGGCCGAGAGGCTGAGGTGCGGTCTTAGCGGCTGGTGCTTCCAGGGGGCGGGGGCGGGGGGGTGCCGGGACCCGGATCTCCCTGCCTTGGGGCTCCTGGAGCCCGCGGGGTCCCCAATAAAGTGTCCGCTTTCGGCTGCGGCCTCTCCCAGACCTGGGAAGTGAGGCGGGAGCACCAAGCCCCCATGATAGAGATGCACAAACGGAGGGTGTGCCCGCAAACTTGTACCGATCGGAGCCTGTGCACTGACGCAGCATCCTCCCCGCCCCTCCTCCCCCCGCACCTGCAGTGACTTTCCGGCGTCCCTTGGGGCTGTAAGAAGAGTCCTGCCCTTGAGGCTGCCGTTTCCTGACACCTCCTAGCTCCCTGCCTTTGGGCGGACAGAACAGTGAAGTCCCGAGATGGGGTGGGGCTGGTGCAGCCATGTTCCACCGAGTTCTCTCCCAGGCCCCCGTTTTCCATTTGTGAGATGGAATCCCAGAGAGAGCGAGGGGGTCTGTCCCATAAAGCTTCAGCCCTTCCACTTCTAGGAGAGGTTTTTTTCTTACACCCTCATGCACCTTAGCTCAGAGTACAGCCTTGGATAACCATGGAAACTGTCTAAAGCCTCACTTGTTCTCTGAGAGACCCCGCCCCCCAACCTGGTTCTAAAGTGGCTCTGCCAGGGATGGAGTCAATAACATCTTTTTAAAAATATATATATTTTATTGATTTTTTTATTATTTTATTTTATTTTATTTTTTTACAGAGAGGAAGGGAGAAAGAGAGCTAGAAAGATGAGAGAAACCTCGATCAGCTGCCTCCTGCACACCTCCTACTGGGGATGTGCCAGAAACCAAGGTACGTGCCCTAAGGGTCCGCAGGCCAAAGCTCTATCCACTGAGCCAAACCCGTTAGGACTCAGGTAACATCTTTTAACAGGCCCACGGGGGCAGCTATGTCATTGACTTCTAGAAAGGGAGTCTTAAAGGGCCAGACCTGAAATGAGTTCTGCTTCTCTTCCTGTCCCCATGCCCTTCAGGCTTCCCTTCCCTAGCCCCCACTCAGCTGTGACTGGCCTCGCTGCTGCTCTGCTGCTCGCCAGCTGAGTTGGCTGCAGCCTTCACCTCCAGGAAGCGCCGTAGTGAGGTTAACCCAGGGCAGAGGTCTGACTTCTCCCGCATCAGTCCTGGAAGAAGGGTTTGCTCTCTGAAATCACACCTAGAAGCTGCAGGGCTCTTGCTGGTGGAGTCGGGAGCTAATCTAACGTCCTCATTCTGCAGAGTGGCCAGGTGACATGCCCGCAGAGGGACAGAACTAGAGCCCAGGCTTTCTCTCCGTGTCTCTCCCTGCCCAGGGGCAGGGGCCAGAGAAAACTGATGTCAGCTTTTCTGCTGTGCGACCCGGACAACTCTGCCCCCTCTTCGGGCGGTTTCCTCAGTCTCTCTCTGCACACAGCTGTCCCTCCTCATGTCAGGACTTGGGAAAGGGTGGATGGGGGTAGGATGAGAATGTCTGAGTCAAGGGAATCTAGGGACCTGAGGGTCTGGTGTATTGCTCACCTGACCCCCCAGCCCCATCAGCCTTTTCTTTCCCCAGGTACCAGAGTTTTGGGGTTTCTTAGCTAATAGCCAGGCCTTCCTGAACCCGTTTGTAGCTGGGGAAGGGAAGTCCAGGAGGAGGTCTCAGAGACGGAAGAGAGCTTGGGGCGGGAGAGTAGGTGGCCCTGACATCCCCTGGCCTCCACAGGGGGGAGAACCTTCTGCAGCTACTCTGGAGTTTGGGGTTCGGGGATGAAGAAAGGACAAGGACTCTCCGGTGTGACCCAGGGTGGAGCTTTGGCCACAGCCCCGGGGGCGCAGCCAGAACGGTTTGTTTTCTGGGCTGCGCAGGAGAGCACTTGGTCCAGAGAAGCTTTTAGCTAATGGTGCAAAGTGCTCCGTGCCATCCCAATTCTGCCTTTCTCCGGGATTTATTAGTAATCAGCTTTGTCCTGATTTGGAGGTGGCGGTGGGGGAGGGAGTCAGAGATGGTAGGAAGTAGAGACGGTCCTGGAGTCACAGGCAGATATGCCTCCTCCCTCCGCTTCCCGATGTCCCTCTGCTGACCACCAGACCTCGGCTGTGCCGCCGGGTGCTAAGCCGGAACCCCAGCTCTCGGCCCAGTGCTCTGCCACCACCCCTCAGCCCAGGGCCGCCTCTAGGAAGCTCCATTTTTTTCTCAATCAACACACATCGATTCAGTCCAGGGGCTCAAGAAGCGGCACTTAATCAGAGGGTCAAACTTTAAGATTCTGTGTCTCCCAGTCCTCCTCTAGGCAGCCTTCACCGACAGTCACCTTCCCAGGGGACTCTCTGGGGCTGGGCAATTTGTGTTGTTCTGAGGGCTGTTTTTAGGCCTTCGTAAATAACTAGCCCCTGGCCCCCTTCGCTGCCCCCACCCCCATGACTTCCTGAACACTTTCTTGATGGCCCCCAGCCCTGGGGACTGGACCTGTGCACTGAGGATAACAATGGCTACTAGTGAATCTGCGATCGCAACAACTTGAAATGAGGAACAGGAGCCTTCAGGTTCATTAATGCCTGCGGCTGGGGATCCAGCTGGGACCTGCCCCTCCCCTGGATAAGCCCCTTCCTCTCGGCTGGCCCTAGGCAAGTGAAGGTCTCTCTGGGTGGCGCCACCAGAGGGCAGTGTGGGGCTGCTTCCCTGGGCACGTGGCTGTAGCCTGGAGCAGCTAGCCTCCCGGTGTCCCCGCCCCCAGGCAGCCTCCGGGTTGGCAGAAAAGGGGTTATGGGAGGTCACTTAGAGAAGAGGCTCAATGGAAGCCTTCAGGTTGGGCCAGTCCCATCAGGAAAGGCTTTCCTGGAAAGAGGCTGCCCCTGTGGATGATCACCTCCTGGTTTCACCATCACTTGGCTTCTCAGTTCCTTACACTGAGGACGCAACAAACATGGATGCACACCCTCTCCCACTGCCATCCGGGGACCAGGGTGGTTTTCTAAAGATGAGGCTAAAGCGACAGGTCTGGCCCAGGTGCTCCGAGCCAGCAAACGGCAGTCTCCAGGAGGCTCCTTTCCCTGCCAGCGGCTCTGGAGGAAACGGGCCCAGGCCTCTCAGGGCTGGAGAGGTCTAGAGCCAGCGGGGGAGGAGGTGTTTGGGAAAGCTGGGGGGTCCCTGGCACCTTGGCCAGGAGTCACGGGAGAAGGAATCCTTGGTTCTGGAGTAATAAACTAACCGCAGCCTCTGTGTGGCGCTGCGCTGAGCACTTTACATCCACCCTTTCAGTCCTCCCAGCTATCCTGCAGCGTAGGGGTTACTGCCATTTCCACAGGAGACTTGCACAAGGTCATAGAACCTGTATGTGGGAGATCCCTTAAGCATTTATGTGACTTTTTGTTTATCAGATGAGTGTGGGAGGATTCTGGGCTCACCTTTCTGTCTGCGCCAGTGCTCCCTGTTTCTGGGAGTGATGTGATAAGCGGGGCAGCCCAAGGTGCCCTCCCAATGTCTGGGCACACCCCCAGAGGCTGGCTCCTCAGCCTGTTGTCTGGGTTCGGGGAAGGGAGGAGGGGTGAGTTAGGCTGAGTCAGCACACCTGGCTTCAGGCGAAGGCAGCCCAACCGTGCTGAGGGCCTGTGCTTGCCGTGGACTGCTGCTTCCCTCCACCCTGGGCTGGGATGTTTGATGCCCAGGAGAGCAAAGATCCTGGGATGGCAGAGGAGGAGGATGGCAGGCTCCATAGTGGGGCAGAAAGTACCCCAGGCTTGGAACAAGACAGACCTGGATTCAGTCCTGGATTCTCTGCTTGGGGAGACCTTAGGCAAATAATTTACCTTCTCCCTGAGCCAGTTTCTCTGTGTGTGTTGGGCAGCTAGGGAGGAGATAACTTCTGCGTATGAAATGAGGAGCCACACTAAGTGCCTGACACACAGTGGAGATCTGTGCCAGTGTGATGGAGCAGGTCTGCCCGGCTTCGGAGAGACTGCCAGGACATAGCCCCCAGCGATGTGGGCCTGTGCTTCTCCAGAGCATCTCCATATCAGGAATCCCTGGAAGCTCCCGTCTCTCTCCCCCACGGGCCCCGGGAACTCCATAAGGGGACAGATGGAGGAAGGGGCAGGCTTTCCATTCCAGGAACATTCCATTCCAGCTGCTCAGACCCGTGGGGATCCCAGCCAAGGACAAAGGCGCAAGGGAACCTCTGCTCATCCCAGGAGCCCCCACTCCTTCCAGGAGTCAATGGAGCCCAGCTCCATACTATTACCCCGGCACCTTCTCTCCATAACGGCCCCTCTTCAGGAGGTGGATGTTGAAGGACTTGGGTGGGGCTGGGTGGCTGTGGGGAAGAGGTCATTGAAAATCTTGAAATTGTTCTCTCCAGCTTCACCCAGCAACTCTCTGGATCTGAACTCCTGGGATTCTGTTCCTTCCCTGAGCACCTCCTCCAGGAAGACTTCTTCGCCGGACCCTCCACAAGGCGGAGCAGGATCCTGGGGAAGTTCCAGCACTATGAATTTCTTTGTGTATGCCACAGTGACTTTGGCTTCTGTTGTACCATTGGAAGACGCTGAGATGCTATCAGATTATTTAAGAGAGCAGCAAACCCTTTCCAATGTGAAAGTGGAAAGGATTTCTTTAAAAAATAGAGTCATCACTCTTAAACAAGTCACAACACGACTTGGCAGCTGCCCTTGCTTCTCAGTCTAACAGCTTGGAGACCTGTTGGAGGGGAACCAGTTTGAGAAAGCCCTGTCTTCCTCCTCCTCTGTTGGCGCCCCGTCCCCGTGGGAACACGCCTGTGGCCCCTCAGGTGGTCAGCTCTGGCTCCATGGAGAAAGAGACGGTGGCTACATAATCCTGAGCAAAGTTTTAAATGGGAAAAGGAACCACGCTTATTCAGATGTCCTGCCAATAGAGGGAAGAGGGCCACATTTACTCACACGCAACCAGAACTTGTAGAATTCTGCAAAATGAATGTATATTGAGTCAGTCCCATGATTCATGCATTCAGGAAGAATAAATTTCAATGGTGTGAGACAACTGCGTGCGGTTTTGAGTTTACTTTGCTAGTGCCCTTGCCTGTTTTCCTTTGTGTCTGTCACCACTCTTTAGGTTGGCAATTCCTCGAGCAGTTTCTGTTTAGTTTCATTTGACGATCCTGGCACTGTGGACTGATGTCTCCCTTGACCTGGCTCAAAGCTGACCCTCTCCAGGAAGTCTTCCCTGATTAAGACGGTGGTGAGGAAGTTAGGGGTTGGGAATGCACATGGGAGATGTGTGATGGGGAGGGAGGTTGTGCATGCTTGTGACAACCTGGCAGCCTATGACTGTGCTGGCAACGGCATGGACCTGTTGGTCAGTCAGGGTCCCAGCAGGAGACAGGGCACACTCAAACTGGGCAGAGATGGTAAAGGGACTCTTTCCAAAGACGTGGGCTTAAGAAACCAACGCGGAATGGTGCTGCTTTCATGGCGATAGCAAAAGTTGGAAGCTTCTGCAACTCCTGGACCTAAAATGGGGGAGACAGAGGAGGGGAAAGGGAGGAGAGGACAGCTGTATGGAGAGTCCCTGACAGGAGCACTGGCCTGTGACTGAGAGAGATGAATAAGACAACCTGATGGGGAGGGGACAGGGGAATAAACACCCCATTCTTTTCCAGTTTCCTGCTGGGCCTCTCATTGGCCAAACCCAACAGGAAGGCCAGGAACAGGGAGTCATTGATGCACAGTTCCCAGAGGTCACCCTCCACGGAGCACAGAGCAGGGAGAAGGGTGGAGAGTGGGACTGGAGGAGCCAGCACATTTGTAGCCGCTTGGGGGGCATGTCTGCGGCCCCCTGATGTCTACAGCAGGGCTTCTTTGCCCTCTAGTTTCCCCACCTGCTGTGGTCATAAGGCTGGGGCGGGGTGGGGGGGTCAGGGGGGCTTGTTACTTGGAGAGCGCTGTGGGGGAGGGGGGCTTTCCTTCCTCGCCCTTCCCCTCTCTGCCTCTGGGATTTCCAGTTCTTGATAACAGCCTGCCCTGGCATCTTTCATGGCTGCAGGGATTGTCCATAAGAGAACAATGCCAGCCACTGAGTCTGTTTTTTTTTCACACCCACTGTCCCACTCTGAAACATACCCATAGGCATGCCTGTGATCACCACAGTCATGGCTGTTGTCACATGGACATCAAGAAAATGTCCGTCTTGTCACTTGCCAGCATGCCCTGTCACATATATGTATAGGAGACATACCGTCATGCTCATCCATGGGACATCGGAGTGTGGGGGCAGGATGGTGCAGGGGTTAACAGCAAAGGCTCTGGAGTCAGACTAACTTCCCTGATCTTTTTGGCATTAGTTTCCTGGTTGCTGACATGGAGATAATCCTTGCTCTTGTGGAGTTGAGATGAAATGAGGGGTACTGATCCGGGAGACCCAGCATCGTTTTGGCCTGCAGGAAAGCACTCCAGAAACAGCTGTTACTGGGAACACCTGTCTCTCCTGCCTCTCACCCCATGCAGGTCACATAGACACACCCGTGAGCATGGGCACCTGCACAAGGCCAGTTAGAAACCCTTAGGCGCATGCACCCTCCCCAGACGTGGGTACATTATCAGACAAGCTCCCTCTGCCTGACCCCTCTCCCCGCAGATCTGCATGGCTTGCTTTCCACTACCTTTAATTCTGTGCAATCCAATGTCACACTTTCGCTGAGGCCCACCCTGACTTCTTTTAAAATTCTCATACTCCACTGATTCCAACCCCTTACCCGGCTGTGTATATTTTTGAGCATCACTGACCTAAGGCGATATAATTTAGCTTATGATCTATAATCTTCAAGAGGGCAGCCATCTCAGTCTTGTGTTTACTGACATATTCCCAGTCACTAGAACGGGTAGCTGGCTCGCCGTGGGCTGACTGCTGGTATATACCATTGGTTCCTGGCTTCTCACCTTCTGAGACAAACATATCCTAACACGCTAAGCCTCTGTGCTTATACTGTGAGCATCCCCTCTGTGCCCAAATCAGGAGCTGGGACAAACTTGGTCCCTCCCAGGACCTTCGTTAGGTGGGCACAGGCAGAGTGAAGATGGGAGCTGTTTTAATCATCCAGCGAAGAAAGCCTTTCCACTCACCCTTCTAGCCATTGTGAGCCCCGTAGGGACCCACTGAGCAGGTGAGGTGGCTGGACTTGTCCCCTCTGTGGCCTTGGGTGTTTTTTATTTTCCACCCCTGGCTGAAAACCACTTCAGAGGCCACTAATGAGGGTGAATGTGTTGAGGGCTTTGCAATTTGTGGATCAAAGGGGCTGCGTAAACAGTGGGGAGCGTCCAGGACCATGACTGGCTGATGCCCTGGGGGAAGAGCTCCGTGAGAGGGTGACAGCCCGGCGTGGCCTCTGGTGCTGGAGAGGAGACTGCAAACCTGCTTAGGACAAGTTGGAACGTGCCCATCCGCATTTGGGGGTGACAGAACCAGAGGACGGAGGGAACCTCTCCCAGATAAGGTGGCCAAACCTGGGCTCAAGCTCTGGGGGCCCCTAGAAATCCCCCCAGTCTTAGCTGCCATTATTGGAGTCCTCTGCAGTCTGGATTCACCCAACTTGTTTTCCACTTGCTTCCTGGGAAGGGATGGGGCAGAGAGGCAGAAATGGGGTCAAGTAGCCCTGAGCACCACAGGGTGAGACCAGGTCCAGGATCATTCAGATTCTAGGTGGGAAACACTGAAATGATTACTCTCGAACAGGAGGCTTGCTGAAGCAATGTGCAGGGACAAGTCATATGTGTAGACATGAGCTCCGAGCACCGTTGTCAAGCTGGGGCTGGTGTTGCCAGAAGAAGGGCATCCCCTCAGCCACAGCCCAGGACTCAACCCCCCCAAGTACCCTCCCCCGATATAAGCCAGACTCAGGCTGGGAGAGGCAGCTACAGCCCCCCAGCCATGGAAGACCCTTCTCCCAGGAGAAAGCATGGTACAGGGTGCTGGGCTCAGTGTAGACAATTTTTATTGGCAGGTGTTAAGAGTGCAGGGGCGGGACATGGTTCTCCTCCCCGAGCTGAGGGCCCTGTAACCAGGCCAGCGGGGTGGGAACACTTGACTGTGGCCAATTTGGGCTCCGTACCCTCCTAAGGTCAAGCTCCCGGGAGGAGGGCTCCTTGTGATGTGGGGGAAGGGAGCTGTGTCCTGGGAGGGTCTTGGGCTGTGTCCTACCCCAGGCCCCTTGGTCCTGTCCCTATACCTTGACTGCTCAAGTTAGGAGTGTTTGGGGACTGGGCCAAACATATCCCTCTCCAGGTACCTGTCTCATGCCTCCCTTCCCCTCCCCAGTGATTAGCCAGGTTGGACTACCAGGCCCTGCGAGTGGCCCAGCCTGACCCCGAAGTGACTAGTTCCCTTAATGCACCATAGTTTAGCCACTGAGTGGGCTGCAGACCCTCGGGGCTGCGGGGCTCCCTCTAGGCTGGCCCTAGCCAAAAAGACCCTTCTTAGGCCACAGCAATCAACCCACGATGACGGACATCGAGACCAACACCCCAAACATGCTTTGTCTCCTGAAGGCAACGAACCCCCAAGACAAACAGCTCCTGCACCCCACAATCACGTTGGTCTAAAAGTGTGTGGCAATAAGCAAAGAACCCCAGCTCAGCCGTAAGCCCGCGGGGGCCTCCCTCGGGGAGTCTGTGGTCTGTTCAGTCCAAGGCCCAACCCTGCAGCAGGGCGGGGCCACCCGGCACAGGCTGCCTGTCCCCGGCCACGCCCTGCACACCCTCCTCGAGGCCCCACTCCATCTGGGGAGACCCGGTCTCCCCCGACGAGGGTCTGAGTCAGTTACAAGGCAGCCAGGTGGGATAGCAGGAGTGGGCCCAGGCCAGCAGCGGCTGCACAGGGGTCACGTAGTAATTGAAAGTGGCGGGCACAGGCCCATTAGGGCGTGGAGAGCACCAGGCCATGGCAGTGGCAGCAGCCGGGCCCTGCTCGGCCAGTGCCTGGAGGGCCATGGAGGCGATGAGGTCCAGCGTCTGGCGGCGCTCGTGGCTCATGAGGCACACGGTGCTCTCGTTGACCACCCGGTGCAGCGTGGCCAGGCAGTTGTAGCGGCCGGCCGAGTCGGCCCCGCTGAAGTGGGCCTCCAGGTAGCGCTCCAGCGTGCGCTGCTGCTCCAGCACGTCCGGGAAGTCGATGAAGAAGCGGGAGCACATGTAGCGCTGCAGGGCGCGCACGTCGGTGCTGGGCCGCGGCCGGAAGCCGCGCACCAGCAGGTGGCAGTACTTGAGGAGGCCGCCGCCGCGGATCTCCTCGGGGTTGCGCGTGGCGATGACCCGGTGCCGCAGGTGCTCCAGGGCCTCGTGGAAGTCCCCGTACAGGCTCTCGCCGGTCACGGTGGGGTGGAAGGCCTCGGTCATGGGCGTGGACGAGCACTGGCCGAAGAGCAGCAGGGAGTCCAGCGTGATCTGGAAGGAGTCCACGCTGAACTCGAACTGGCGCCGGACCGAGTCCACGAACTTGAGCTCCACGTTCTTGCCGCTCTTGTTGGACAGCGAGATGAGGCTCCAGCGGTCCGTGTCCGTGCACACTTTCACCAGCTTCTGCACGTAGGCCTCCTTGAGGGTCAGGGGCGTGATCTTGGCCCGGCTCACGCCGGCCGGCAGGAAGTCCAGCAGGCAGGCCAGCACCACCTCCTTGGTCAGCTGGAAGGAGGCCTCGCTGCGCAGGTCCACGCGGAACACCAAGTCCAGGTCCTTGTAGCCCAGGCCGTTCTCGGGGTGCAGCACGTGGCTGGCGGCCGAGCCGTGCAGCCGCACGCCGTGCACGCGCAGGCCCTGCTCCTCTAGGCTGCTGCGCACCACCTGCGGGGGGACGGCGGGAAGAAGAGGTGTCAGGAGCTTGTCCCCTGGCCCCAGGTCTGCCATGGGCTTCCGTGTCATAGGGATAATAGTGCCAACGTCTGCTGACCACTTATCAGCTATCACGCCTTTGGAAAGACATTTAATTTTCTAAGCCAAAATTCCTGAGGCTAGAGAATGGCCTATTTGGAGGAAAGCCTCAGAAAGAACAGC